GTGTGTGTGTGTGTGTGTGTGTGTGTGTGTGTGTGTGTGTGTGTGTGAGAGAGAGAGAAAATTTGTGGCTTTTTAAAAATCCAAACCACTGTCAAAAATTTTCACTGCCAAAAATTGTGTGTTGTGTCAATTCAGTTATGTTTTTGAAAAACTGATTAAAAAGTGCTTTAAAAAAATGGAAAAAGGAAAATAGGTATATCTCAAACCCTGTGCAAGGGAAACAACTTTAAATGTTTGACATTTTTGCAAGTATCTTTTATTTATTTAACCTGTTCTACTCATTTCAGGTAGGTCGAATGTCAGCTGGCAATGACTTTTGGTCACTAATGTCTAGGCTAAATTTGAATGAAACTGCTAAATAAATTCCATCGGGACTGATATTTTCTAAGTAAAAAGCAATTACAAAAAATGCCAGTGGGTTGAGGAGAGATGTAAAGTGGGAATCTAGAATGTAACTCTATAGGTGCTACAGGCTGCCACAGCAACAAATTTGAATTTGGGGGAGCAAGACAACAGTGAACATTGTGGCTAGTCATGTTTAGATGAACAAAGGGTACTCTGCCTTTTATCTGGAAACTACTGTGAAAGCACTGTACAGCAAACCTAGATTCCTGTGACTGGGACACTGCTGGAGTTGGCATTCCTTTTTAAAGTTACTGCCACAAGACTCACTGAAAGGATACAGAAGCCAGCAGCTTATGGGTGACCAGTAGTTAAAGCAGATTGCCAAGAAGGAAGGGGAGTAATCAGGGAGACTATGGGCAACAGTGCTCCCTCATTCCCTCCTTCACACTTCAGCCCCTGTAGGGAGTCATATCCTGGTAACAACAGCTAATAATTCCATTATCCTCAAATACCACCACTCTATAAACTGAGTCAAGTTTTTGCAGTTATTTTTCTTCTGTTTAATTTACACATTTCTTAGATGCTTTTAGTTATTTAAAAAACGTGTCTGCTCTTGTTTACCACCTGTAGAACTATACTGTTAATGTTTTTAGTGGAAAAAACAATTATGTTATATGTTTTTACATTGTTGACTTGTTTTCAATAAAATTTTGATTTATGTTTTGCAAAGTTGATACACAAATTGCAACTTATCAAGAAGTGACACAGAATAATATAGCTGTAAAATATAAGGGGAAAGGACATAATATTTGAAATAAATTCTCAAAAAAGTTTTAAGCAAATCATACATGAAAGGTAATCAGGAATACAGCAAAGAGAACTAATTCATATGTAGGTAACATTTAGTTACAAAGATGGTGATACTTAAAGAACAATGCCTCACAGCAAATTACACAGTTAATTATATTTGGGAACTAGTGATTCCTACATTATATCATGATCAGAATCATCTAATTCTTCTATATGCATGCATTCCTTTGTACAAGTAATCATGATATCAAAGTATGACACAAAATGTAAAAATTTGGTATTACAACTGATAAGCCAGAATTAGGAACCTACTTGTAATATTGAAGGAGGCAGTAAAATGCATGGTCCAATACAGTTTCTAATAATATAGAGAAATTACTGCACCATTACATTTCTTCAACATTCCCCAGTAATCCCAAAATTACTATAATTTCCTAATTTTGCAATATTTTTAGTAACTCAGTCATGTGACAAGGAAATGTCTATCTTTTATTAATATTTCAACAGGAGCTTTCATACTGTATATTTGTCTCTCATACTCACTGCTTATAAGACTATTTTTACATTAAAATGAGTCAAGTTTGGCATACCTGATCCAAGACATTAAAACATACTAAAAAAACCTGGAATTGTTGGTAAAACAGAAGCTAATGGGTACTTATGTTGGATTGTTAGGAAGAGAAAATAATTTACCATCTTAATATGTAACAATCAGTGCTGTTATACATATGGGGGAATGTGATGGGGAGTGCAGAAAAATGGAATTCCTCATTTTTGCCTCTTGTCTGTATATGTTGCAGCAGTGCTTGTAACTATACAGTGTTCAATGTCTGTTCTCTTCTTTATGTTCCTTTTTTTTTTAAGGGTCCTTTAAAAATTTATATCATATATTAATAAATGAGGAAAATTGTTTCCATAAGTAAAACCTTCAAACTAATTAATATTGCCTGTCTAATTTATTTATATATATATATATATATATATATATATACACACACACACATACATACATATATACATACACACACACACCCCTCTACCTCGATATAACGCTGTCCTTGGGAGCCAAAAAATCTTACCGCGTTATACGTGAAACCGCGTTATATTGAACTTGCTTTGATCCACCGGAGTGCGCAGCCCCCCCGAGCACTGCTTTACCACGTTATATCCAAATTCGTGTTATATCGGGTCGCGTTATATCGAGGTAGCTGTGTATATATACACACACAGCACACACACATATATACATATACACACACTAGGGCTGTCAAGCGATTAAAAAAATTAATCACGATTAATTGTGCTGTTAAACAATAACAGAATACCATTTATTTAAATATTTGTAGGTATTTTCTATATTTTCAAATATATTGATTTCAATTACAGCACAGAATAAAGCATCCCTGAGGTAAAATCTACTCTCCCTTCCAAACAAGGGCTCACTCCGCTGAATGGAGCCCACCTAGCTCAGTAAAAGGAGGCGAGCCTCGCGAGCCCAGTATCAGAAAGAACCCTTCCAGAAGCAGCAGCAAGACACCTTCCCCACCCTCCTCTTGCACAAGTTATTGCTTGCTCCTCCCCATTGTCACCCCCGTCCTCCCACGCCCTCCTCCTGCACAAGTCACTGCTTACTTCCCCCTTCTCCCCTGTCCTCCCCCAACACTGAATGCTTGTTTGTCTGAGCGATTGGCTGTGCTTGTTTGTCTGAGCGATTGGCTGAACAAAAAGTAAGACTGAGTGGACTTGTAGGCTCTAAAGTTTTAGATTGTTTTATTCTTAAGTGCAGTTATTCTTTTATACATAATTCTACATTTGTAAGTTAAACTTCTGTGATAAAAGAGATTGCATTACAGTACTTCAATGAGGTGAATTGAAGTTTCTTTTTTACAGTGAAAATGTTTGTAATCAAAAATAAAGTGAGCACTGTACACTTTGTATTCTGTGTTGTAACTGAAATCAATATATTTGAAAACGTAGAAAACATCCAAAAATATTTAAATAAATGGTATTCTATTTTTTAATCGCTTGACAACTATACACACACACGCACACGCACTCTGTAATTGGGTCTACATGGATGGACTTCAGGCTTATGTGAATCTCCATCAACTTCACTGGGGCGAAGTGTGAGTATATAAGGGTTCAGGAACTGGACCTTGGCTGGGGGTGCGGGCTTTGGTGGGGCCAGAAATGAAGGGTTCCGGGTGCGGGGGGGGGAGGGGGAGGGTGAGGACTCCAGCTGAGGGTGCAGGTTCTGCGGTGGAGCTGGGGATGAAGTGTTTGGGGTGCAGGAGGGGGCTCTGGCCTGGAGCCACGGGGTTTGGAGTGTGGGAGGGGGTGCGGGCTCCGTTTGGGGATGTGGGCTCTGGGGTAGGGCCAAGGATGAGGCGTTTGGGGTGCAGGAGGGGTCTGGGGGTAAGTGGTTGGGATGTTGGGGGGGTGGGCTCTGGGAGGGGACTCCAGGCTGCAACTCCCAGGAAGCAGCCACAAGGTCCCTGCGGCCCCCTCGATGCATGGGTGGCCAGGGAGGCTCTGTGCACTCTCCTCACACCCACAGGCTCCGTCCCCACAACTCCCATTGGTTGCAGTTCCTGGCCAATGGGAGCTGTGGAGCTGGCCATCGGGGCGGGGGCAATGTGCAGAGCCTCCCTGGCTGCCCATGCATCTAGGGGCTGCAGGGACCTGGCGGCTGCTTCCGGAAGCCACACTGCACTACACATTGCACTAGGGCAGGCAAGGAGTCTGCCTTACTCCTGGTCCCACAATGCACCACCAACCGGACTTTTAATGGCCCAGTCGGCAGTGCCGACCGGAGTCGCCAGAGTCCCTTTTCAACTGGGCATTCTGGTCGAAAACCAGGCACCTGGCAACCCTAGGAATAAACAGGAATTCAGTCCTCACTCTTCCAATCCAAATGGAATTGACAAATTATTACAATTATATTCATAACATTGGGATTCAACAATAACTTAAATCCCCTCACCCATCAGCTCAAATTGAGAGAAAATAAAGTCACAATTATATTAATAATAAATAATAGGAATCATAGGACTCGAAGGGACCTCAAGAGGTCATCTAGTCCAGTCCTTGCACTTAAGGCAGGAGGTGACTATCTAACCTGCTCTTTAAAATCTCCAATGACAGAGATTCCACAACCTCCCTAGGCAATTTATTCCAGTGCTTAACCACCCTGACAGTTAGGAAGTTTTTCCTAATGTCCAACATAAACCGCCCTTGCTGCAATTTAAGCCCATTGCTTCTTGTCCTGTCCTCAGAGGTCAACAAGAACAATTTTT